CCCCTGCTGTTATTTTTTATTTTTGGTGTGTATACTGTGTGAGATTAATCGCACTCCTTTTGATTATGCTGAGTCAGAGAGGGAATTGGTTACGGGGTTTAAAACTGAGTATAGTGGTATGTTTTCTGCTTGTCTGTTTGCCAGTGAGTATATCATTATATTCATATTTTCAGGGTTAGGCAGGATAGTTTTATTTGGTTGGAGTTTTTTGGCTGTATTTGTTGTTCCTTTTCATCTTTCATTTTTTATGTGGGCTCGTGTTACGTTGCCGCGGGTTCGGCATGGTGATTTTGTTAACTTTTTGGTCTGTGGGATTATGCGTTTTGATATTGATGCTTTTTTCAGTTGTAATTTAGTGTTTGTATAGATTATGAAATAAATCGTTATGCTGTTAACGTTAATGAAGATTTGGTTCTACAAACGTGTTCTCTGACTTTAGTTTATGTTTACAATGTTAGTTTTGGGGATTAGAGGGCCTTTCTGGGAAGTCCGAGAGTGCCAATACGGCTGCTATGTTTGCTATGCTTTCAATAGTGTGTTTGGGTCGTTTAGTTTGGGGGCATTATATGTTTACGGTAGGGTTGGATGTGAAGACTACTGGTTTTCTAGTTATGTAGCTATGATAACTGGTGTTCCTACTGGGATAAAGGTGTTTTATTGATTGTACATGACTTTAAATAGTCGTGTTTCATTACGTGAGCCGGTGTTCTGATGGGTTCTATCTTTTATTTTGCTAGTTACTATGGGTGGAGTAACTGGTGTAATTCTTTCTGCTTGTGTATTGGATAAGATTTTGCATGATACATGGTTTGTGGTTGCTCACATTCATTATGTGATGTCTCTGGGCTCTTATATTAGTATTATTATTTTTTTGTTTGGGGGTGGCCAGTGATTACTGGGGTTGGCTTGAATAAGTATTTGTTGCAGTGTCATTGTAAAGTATCTAATGTGGGTTTTAATTTGTTTTTTTTCCTATGCAATATTTTGGTATTTGTGGTTTACCTCGTCGTGTTTGTGTCTATGAATCTGGTTATGCTTGAGTTATTAGGCTTTGCTAAATAGGTTCTTTTGTTTCTGCTTTCCGTGGTTCTTTTTGTCATTTTTATTTTATGGGAGTCTTTGGCTAGAAAGAATGTTTTTATAGGTTAATATGGTAGTTCTTCAACTTTGCTTAATTTGTGTTGCCCACCGGCGCCTTATCTTCGTAAATGTTTTGTGCGTGGTTTGTTTGTTGATAATTCGGTGTTGGCTTTTTAGTTTATTTATGATGATATTGATTTTGTAAATCAAGGGTAGGGTGGTTTGACCCTAAAGCCTGTTTGGTGGAACTTTTAATTGGGTTAATTAGGTTTGTTTGTCTTTTGCATCATGTTAAATGGATTTAGATAACTTAGGCTGCATACCGAAAAGTTTAGATCTGACGTTAGGTTAGCTGGAAAGCTAACACGAGTAGTGGTGTTAAAACTTGGCGTTAGGGGTGATAAATAAGTTGTAAAACTATATATCTGTTTGGGGGTTTTGGTAATTGTGAACCCACCTGGTGATGAGATCACGTGGGTGGATATACATACTTTGTTTGCTGTGTAAGGTAAGGGTTAAATTTACCTCTCTTTATAGAGTTTGTTATAATTGCGGCGTGAGGTCATGATAGTTGGATTATTTTTGTGGACTCCTTTTATTTAATTATACTCCGTGAAACTATCATTTAATAAGTAATTATATTAGATTTTATGTATCTCAATTCCATCCCGTCTGTTCATTAAAAACATTTCCATATGCTAATTTATTTGGCAGTAACTGCTCTATGTGTTAGAAATGCCCACAGTATCTTGACTGTACGAAGGTAGCATAATTAATTGCCTTTTAAATGGGGGCTTGGTTGAATGGTCTGACGTGGTTGTGAGTAACACTAGGGCTTTGAGTTAAATTGGTGACGCGAGTTCAGCATTTGCGTGATTTAATTAGGCGGAAAGACCCTAGGATGTTTAAATTTTTGTATGGGACAATTGAGGATATTTTATTTGCTTTTCGACCCCTTTAGAGTGTTATAGATTTAAGTTACCTTAGGGATAACAGAGTGATTGGTTATTGGAGATCTTATCGACTAAACTGTTTGCTACCTCTATGTTGACTTGGGTTAAATGTTCTGGCGCAGTTGTTAGGAGTTTTGGTCTGTTCGACCGTATGTACCCCTATGAGTTGAGTTAAGACCGGCCTAAGTCAGGTCGGTTCTTATCTATTGTTCTAACTCGTTATTACGAAATGATTGCGGGTTAGTTTGGTAAAACAATTGCCTTAGGGTCTCAGTATTGCAAATGCTGGTGTGAATATGTAATTATTTTGGGTTTTATCTGCCTAACTATGGCAATAGAAAGGGTATTAAGATGAATCGCATAAATATGCTTTGTTGTTTTTAGGGCAGCATGAGTGTTTTGTGTTTATAAGCGATTAATATTTTATTTAAGCGTGGACTTTATTAAAAGCCTCAAGAATGAGGGGATCAGGCCCAGTGAAAGTATCCGCGGTTTTTCTGTTTTCTCTGCTTTTTGCGGCTTTGCTTGGAGATAGTTATAAATTAATTTGGGTGAATTTCTTTATTTTTGTTACTGTTATCTCTCGGGGCAGTAAATAACTGTGTAGTGAGGGGGATTGGAGATCCCCGTTACTAACTATTTTTTGAGCTTAGTTTTATAAGTAAAATAGTTTGGCAGTGAGTTATTCAGGTCAGGGGAAGGTGTGTTTTAAAGGACGATCCGCCTGTTAATTTACCTCGGCTATGTTGGTGCATATGTGGTTGAATATTATTGCTTAGTTGCTTAAATTTGTCTATTAATATTTAAGCTAATTCTATGTGCTGCATGTTGGCGTTCTTATGCGTTACATTTATAAGCTTTATGCCTGTAATTGGTTTATGTTTTAGAACCTGATAGTAGTACTAAATACGTTTGTTGGTGTGAAGGTGGTACACACTACCCGTCACCCTCGATAGTTTTACGGTAAGTCGTAAAAAGGTTGCCCCAGATGAATCTGGGGCTAATTGCTATTATGTATTGATAATGGCTGTAATGAAATTTTTTTTGCTTTACTATGACATATTTTGTTATGTTGTTGCTCTTTGTGTTTTCATAGTGGTGTTTGTTGTGGACTATTGTGCCAACATTGATTGTTTTGGTATTGTGTAGATTGAATGCTAAATTTATAACTGCTGGTTTCAAAGATTTATCTCAGGAAACCATTAAGGTTGTTGGTCGTCAGTGATATTGGAGTTAGGATTTATCGGGGGGTTCTTTTGATTCATTTTTGTGTAAGGATGAGTTTCAGGTGGATTAGCCATTACCGTTGCGTTATTGTGTTGTTAACCCATTCTGACATATCATTACCGATGCAAAGACGTTGTTTTCGACCAACCAGAACCGCCCCTGTCCAGTTCAGAAGATCTCCCCGGATGCCGATGGCGCTCAATTTCTTATTAAAATTTTTCGTAGGACAATATAGACATTTCTCTACTTTTTGTCGTGTAGGAGGGATGCGTAGCATTTCCTTTTCTTAGCCTGCGGTCAGTCTTCATATCTGTGTGTTTTTTTTGTAGTCATTCAATTCTGTTCTGGTGCTTTTATGAGGTTTCCGTGCTTCATTTACTATATTTCATTTGTTGTAACTATCCTTATTCTGAGCATTTGATTGCGGGTTAATATTTCTCTGTTTACTTGCTATTTTCGAGACTGATAATTATTCTTGATTTTATTATACTTATCTTATGTTAAAGGGAGTACCTTCTTTAAATTACGTGCATTTAATAGTGAGTGCATTTTTATATACGCTGCCTTGGCTTTTATATTTTTTTACCAAGGTTCCTTTATTCCCATTCCATACTTGGTTGCCTATAGTTCATGCTGAAGCGACTAGGATTGTTTCAATGTCTTTGAGTGGTTACATTATGAAGTTGGGGATTCTTTGTTTTTATCAAGTTGCAGCAGCAATGGGAGCAGGGACGGTGACTTGCGCAGGGGTTTATAGTGCCGGCAGACTTGCGTTTTATCTATCTACACTCCCTCCTCCTCCGCCCGATCCCGGTGTCAAGACAGAGTCAAGAAGACCGGAGACGAGGGAGGCCGCAGGTGAGTGGCTTGAATGGATCCTCACCTTGGCGTTCCACCACACCCCCTGGTCCACACAACAAATGACCAGGATTTCAACCAACACAACAGAGATTTGTAGGCTGGCACGGCCGAAGCCGCACCTGGGCGTGCCGCCAACGCCTGGCTCGGATCCCACACTGTGATGGGAGTGCCATAAATGCCGGATTAAAAAGGAGCCATTGCAGCCTGACTCTCAGACCGCCTCCAGTCAAGGAGGAGGTCCAAGTTACCCCGTCAGTTGGCAACCTTCCAAGCCACGGCCTTTAGCGCACCGTGAGAGCTTCAAGCGCGTCAGATTGTTTCTAGTGAGGAGAAAGTGCGCTGAGTCGTCGACCTCACTCTCCCTTCCCACTGCCACACCCCAGCCGCTGTCCGAGCCGGTCAGCAGACTGGAGTGGGAGATGGACGCGGTGGCTGTCATAGTCGACTGACCATGACTGCGCTGCGTCACTTCCCATTTGCGTGGGAAGTGGCATGAGGTGTGTGAGTGTTGATTTCTGGTGGGTTGGTGGTGGTGGTGGTGGTGGTGTTGGTGGTGGTGGTGGTGGTGGTGGTGGTGTTGGTGGTGGTGGTGGTGGTGGTGGATTCGCAAGTGACCGACCAGGCCGATGCGTGAGGTGAATGTTCGTGAACAGTGTGGGCAGGTGAAGTCGGCGGCGTCAGTGTCAGCTACGGAGGAGGCGGTGATGGTGATGGGTGAGCAGGGCGATGGGGCGAGGCTGGGACTGTGCGTGGTGTACTTGCTGGATGTGGTGGGTGTATCGGAATTGTGGTCAATTCCGCTCTCGTGAATGCGCATGTGGCCGAATAGACCCATGCGATGCCTGAAGATGCGAGGGCAGTGGAGGCGAGTGCGGTGGGCGTAGATTGGTCCTCCAGGCACTAGCTCGCCAGTGTCTGTGCGATGGATTCGCAAGTGACCGACCAGGCCGATGTGTGGGGTGAAGGTGCGGTCGCATTGAGGGCAGGTGTAATCCTGATCCTCATCGCTGGAGTCGAGAGAGGTGGTTGTGTCTGTGTCGGTTGTTGCGCGGGGGACGGTCGCCTGAGCGGCCGTCGTTGGAGCAGTGGAGGAGGAGGAGGAGGAGGAGGAGGAGAAGGAGGATGGGAGTGGTGGATCAGAATAAGTGTCAGAGTTAGTTGGCGGCGGAGAGGACGAGGAAGAGGCGGGGGGACGATGTTTGGTGCAGTTCGAGAGGCGCAGTTTATCCGAAGATGTCCAGCAAGTCCGATTCGAGCCCGGAATGTCCGTTGACATCGAGGACACGTTGGAAGCGGTTGTGCGGCGGCGTTGCGTACTGGGTGAGATTGTGATTTACGGGCTTCGCGTTTCGCTTTGGCGGCAGCGATGCGCTTGGCTTCGTAGATCGCAGCGTCTGGCTTCACCGTCCTCCTCCAGGTCGGTCGATCGCTTGCGAGCTCCTACATGTTGGTCGGGTTGATTTGCAGGCGCTTTAGGAAGGACTTCAGGGTATCCGTGTAACGGCGAATCTGGCCGCCTTGACGACGAGAACCCGTCGCGACGTCTCCGTAGAAGAGTCGTTTGGGTAGTCGCTCGTCGTCCATGCGGACTAGGTGACCGCTCCAACGCAGCTGCATTTGTCTTAGCATGGAGTAGATGCTCAGGATTCCCGTTCGTTCCAAAACATCAGTGTCGGGGATGCGATCCTGCTAGTTCAGCCTCAGGATGCGCCGAAGACAACTAGGGGGGAAGTGGTTCAGACGGCGTGCCTGCTTTGCGTACACCGTCCAAGACTCCGCTCCATACAGTAGTGTCGGCAGGATGACGGCCTTGTACATCTTCAGCTTCGCGTTCAGTTGAAGACCGTGGCAATTCCAAACTGTGCTTTGGAGGCGGCCGAAGGTTTGACTGGCTTTCGAGATCCTGTTGGCGACTTCGTCGTCGATCTTGGTGTTGCGGGAGAGTGTACGGCCCAGGCACGGGAAGTTCTCCAGCACTTGCAGTTGGGTTCCGTTCACGCTGACTTGCGGCGGCACGTTGGGGGCTGTGGCGGTGTTGGGTGGTGATTGGTGCATTACCACCGTCTTCTGCGTGTTAATGACCAGAC